CGCCTGTGGTCTCAGCCTCCCGAGTAGCTGGGACTACAGGCACCTGCCACAACACCTGGCTATTTTTTTGTTGCAGTTTGGCCGGGGCCGAGTTTGAACCCACCACCCTCGGTATATGGGGCCAGCACCCTACCCACTGAGCCACAGGCGCCACCCAATACTAGTATCTTTTATTCTTCTTTGACTTTAAAATTAAAATTTCATGATTTAAATGATTTATTTTGAACATTTTGGGGGCAACTGTGCAGTTTGGTGCACACAGCCACTAAATGACTTTATCACTTGTGTGTTCCAGTCAGCCCAGTTATTGCTGTCTGTCTCATTAATAGTGTTTGTTCATTTTTGCAGCCTGGACTCTGAGCTCCAAGTCAGAAACCCATAGGTTTGGTCACTGCTCTTCTGTCTTCTACATGTGATCTGTCTAGTCCTCATGGAGAGCCAGTGGGAATTAGTTTTAAGGAAAAGGGCTTTTAGCTTGTCCTACTAGCCATTTTGACCAGTGTCTTTTTCCTTTCTACATCAGTGGTTTTCAACCTTCCTAATGCCCTGGCCCTTAATGCCCTTCCTAATGCCCAGGTCCTGTGGGTCATGACCTACAGGTTGAGAACTGCTGCTCTACATGAAGGTGAAAAAATAGATGTTTTGCATTACCTCTTGCAACAGAGGGCATATTTATTACCTTTTTAGTTTTTTCTCAGCTGATTCTTCAGAGTTAACCAGATATAACTCAGTGTGTCTGTAGCATTGGTTTCCTTACTTAACATTCTAGAATCCTTCGATTAGTCCAGTCTCCACAGGGACTAGTGAGGTTAAATGACTTGCACAAATAGAAAGTTCTAGATAATTCAGCTAAGAGTAGAACCTGGGTTGCCTTTCCAATATCCTATTCTAAAAAATATAATATGGGGATTATTTTCAAAAGGAGTGGTATCTCTTTCACAGAAAAACATTTGATGAACACTTAAATGATTTTGGCAAAGCTGTACTTCTGAGTAATTGACAACTTTATTTTTCACTTTTTTAGGCAAATCCACCGTGCTTGCTGTCCACTGTTCAGTATATCAGTAGCTTTTATGCCAGCTGTCTGTCTGGAGAGGAGTCCTATTGGTGGATGCAATTCACAGCAGCAGTGGAATTCATTAAGACCATTGATGACCGAAAGTGACCAAGACCAAGGCCACTCAGGCAGCAGACTGTTAGCCAAACGGATCTCTAAGAAAATGTACCAGCTGCTTTGAAGGCTGAAGATTGTTTTTGTATAATATTGTACAGCATTCAGACATTTTAAAGCAGATCTTTACTAAACAGATTAATGAGTTAACAAGCAGGTTCTCTTTTCTTTGGGCTCTTTCCTTTCAGAATTGCATATTTTATTGTCCACAAGTGATAATAGTAATTCAAAAAGGGACCACATTTTTCAGGTATTTTTAAATATTGAAAAACAGACCAGAATCTCTTAAAAAATTCCTAGGCCTCTATTCATGAATACCCATTCTTTCCTTTTATTTTACAAAAGAACAGTACCTCTCTTTTAAGATTCTGTCTTATCTTACATGAATATGCATCTAATGGAAGGAAAATACTGGTTGCACTGAGGATTATAATAGTGGTGTATTAGTGGCATTATCTATAAATACACTCACCTAAATTGAAAAGCTAAGAAGGAAATGTAAATATAATATATATTTATATTTGATGTAATATGGACATCTTCAGATTCTAATAAACAAGGACTATTGCTGATAATAGGTTGTCACGTACCCTCTTGTGAAATGGTTTCTTTGACCAAATTTAAGCTGAGATTAAAAATCAAAAAACAAAAACACACAGAAATATTTATTAAAGTATAATACAGTTTATTGAACTTTGTAGATGTGGAGTTTGATGCACAGGGCTGCCTTTGATGAGGAGTGTAAAGTATCACTATCTCACCATGGAAGTTTGTGAGCCTGCATGAGAGAGACAGACTCTTGAATTACCACATATTACATAAAATGAACAATAGATATCTACTATGTTATTGTGGGACTTCTCATCTTGAAATACTAACTATACTGTAGAAACCCCAGACAGAGCTCCTTATAAATCTTTAATTGTAATATATTTTTGATGGTTATTCACATTGAATGCATAGCCCAGGAATTCAGTGAATGTGATTTTTTAAAAAAACTAATTTGTATCGTCTGCTCTAGTGATAAAAGATTGACTAGTGATAAACTATGTCAATCAACCATACTATTCTTATGGGGAAAAAATATATTTTGGCAGGTTTCTGTGCCTTTATTTCCCTTTTCTCAAAAAAAGTCTATGTTGTAGTAATTTTGTTTGCGTTGTATTTTGACAATCAGGAATGGGTTTTGGTGCCTCAGAAGTTGGTCAAGGAGACACACTTCAAGGTTTAAGCACAAGTCTTGTACATAGGCCATCACTGACTGGTTTCACTTTGTATGTTTCATAAACTTGTTGAGCTACTTTTATAACAAATTCAGTCCTATACTTTTGAGTCCATTGTTGCTAGAGCATGTCTCGGCATTTTTTAGGGAACTGTGGTGAATAGCCTTGAGCAGATAAATACAGAGGCTGTTTGCTGCCTGTTTCCACAGTCTGTCTCAGAATGCCTAAAGAAATGATTTTCTTTATGTCTCCAACTTTCCTCTTTCATTTATTTTAAAATGGAAAGTAACAGGTTGTAGCGGGGAATACGGGATGTGATTTCTGCCTTCTAGGGAGAGATCAAAATTAAGCTAGTTCTGTGAGATGTCCTTTTTGAATGTTAGGTCAAGAAATCTGTGTACAGAGTTAATATTTTTCATGGACTCTTAACTGTCAAATTTGCCTAGAATCAAAAATCCCTTCATAAATACATTACAAGATAAGTGGTATGACATAGTTTCCAAGACCTCAATAGGAATCCATTCACTTCAATGTTAGATTCCATTAAATGTTAAGTCAACAGAAGACGTTGGATAGTTGGAATCCATTGTTAATGGAATTTAACCGTAAATCAACCAGAGTTTTTTTTTCTTCTCCACAATCAGTTAATCTCTTCCATGTTATCACTATGGAAATAAATACAAAGTTGTGGACATTGCACCAGGGCTCTCTTCTTCTTCTTCTTTTTTTTTTGAGAAAAGAGTTTCACTTTGTCACCCTTGGTAGAGTGTTGTAACATCACAGCTCACAGCAACCTCAAACTCTTGGGCTCGAGCAGTCCTCTTGCCTCAGCCTCCAGAATAGCTGGGACTACAGGTGCTTGCCACAATGCCTGGCTATTTTTAGAGATGGGGTCTCCCTCTTGCTTGAGTGAGCTCAGGACAATTGACCTGCCTCAGCCTCCCAGAGTGCTGGGATTACAGGCATGAGCCACCACGGGGCTCTTTTCTGTGAAGGAGAAGGTGATGGATTTGGGACAAAGGCTACACTAAAAGCAGGAAATGGGGCTTTGTGGTGCTTGAACTAGTGGTGATAGTAGAAACTCCAAGATGTGGTGAGTGAAGGGTACTCATGACTCAAGTGCTAGAGAAACAGCCCTGCTGTTGCTCGGTCAGCTAAACTTCCCTCAGGAAGTCCTGTCAGGAGCAAGGACTACTTCAGCATTAAGCATCACTAGTTTATTTCATGACAGGACTTCTTAGGGTGCTAATTTTTTTTCTTTTCTTTTGTTTTTGTTTTTTGAGATAGAGTCATTGTTGCCTTCAGTAGAGTGCTGTGGCATCATAGCTCACAGAAACCTCAAACTCTTGGGCTCAAGCAATCCTCTTGCTTCAGCCTCCCAAGTAGCTGGGACTACAGGTGCCCACCATAATGTCCGGTTATTTTTAGAGATGAGGTCTCACTCTGGCTCAGGCTGGTCTCAAACCTGTGAGCATAGTCAGTCCACCCGCCTTGGCCTCCCAGAGTGCTAGGATTACATGTGTGAGCCACGGTGCCCGGCCGTGGCACTAAATCTGCATTTAGTGATTAGTCACTATCTGTATGGCAGTAGTGGTATGAGACATAGGGAGTGATTCACTGTTTTTTTTTTTCTGAAAAAGTTGTTCCTTTGATATTTCTTTTCTTTCTTTCTTCTTTTTTTTTTTTTTGAGACTAGGTCTCATTCTGTTCACCAGACTAGAGTGCAGTGGCCTCATTATAGCTCAGTGCAGCCTTGGACTCCTGGGCTCAAATGATCCTCCTGTCTCAGCCTCCTAAATATCTAGGACAAGTGTGTGTCATGCCTGGATAATGGTATTTTTTGTAGAGACAGGGTCTCACTACATGGTTTAGGCTGGTCTCTTAACTCCTGGCCTCAAGCAGTCCTCCTACCTTGGCCTCCCAAAGCAGTAGGTGTGAGCCATTGTATCTGGCCCTCATAATGCTTCTTACTACATAGCTTTCCAGTTTTACATGAAAAATTAGTACACAAGTACAAAATCACCCCTGGGAAACGTTGGCAGTGACAAATTCTTACTTGGAGTTTATCAAGTTAATAGATGTGGAATGGGGAGATAATCACTCAGCTCACTGAAATCTTACAGAATTAACTTCTCTGAGGAAAAGGAAAATCATTCTGTGTTTTGTATTCTTATTCTACTTCTGGAAATAACAGAAATACAGATTGAAGATTGTCTTTCATTGTAAAATGATTTTTTAAAAACCTGGTAAACATTTTGTTTTCTTTCTCCACTTTAGGTAAAATCTTTACCACTTTAATTGCTTCTTTCTGCTTTTTCTTTATAAAAATCTGCTAATGAAAGCCTTTCTATAAAGATAGTTAATTGCTGGAGTAAGAGAATTAGGCTTTGAGAAAGATTGAGAAAAGATGGAATGTATGGTTTCTCTTTTTCTGTTGTGTTCTGGAAGCCATAGTTTAAGGTGGACTTTACAAATATCTGTTTCCGAGGTTTATAAGCAAGAGAACAAAACCCCAGTCTCTCCAGGAAGGAGGCCATGTACTTGCACAACAATCTGTAGTGGGACTGTGTGCATTGAACCGGACACCATTTTCCTGTTTTCTGGCCGTGGAAATTCCAACGAGGTGTTCTAAATGTGTGCAGTTTGAAAATTTCTTCCTCTGGCTCGGCAGCTGTAGCTCAAGCAGCTAAGGCCTCAGCCACATACACCAGAGCTGGTGGGTTCAAAT